CTTGTTGCTGCTATTCTTGTTGCTGTTGCTGTTCTTGTTGTTCTTGTTGCTGTTCTAGTTGTTGCTGTTCTTGTTGCTGCTGTTCTTGTTGCTGTTGCTGTTCTTGTTGGTGTTCTTGTTGCTGTTCTTGTTGCTGTTCTTGTTGCTGCTGTTCTTGTTGCTGTTGCCTTTGTTGTTGCTGTTCTTGTTGTCGTTGCTGTTCTTGTTGCTGCTGTTCTTGTTGATGTTCTTGTTGCTGTTGCTGTTCTTGTTGTTGTTCTTGTTATCGTTGCTGTTCTTGTTATTGCTGTTCTTGTTGCTGTTCATGCTGTTGCTGTCTTGTTGCTGTTGTTCTTGTTGCTGTTGCTGTTCTTGTTGTTATTGTTCTTGTTATTGTTGCTGTTCTTGTTGTTGCTGTTCTTGTTGTTGTTGCTGTTCTTATTGCTGCTGTTCTTGTTGTTGTTGTTCTTGTGTTGTTGCTGTTCTTTTGTTCTTGTTGCTATTCTTGTTGCTGCTGTTCTTGTTGATGTGGTTCTTGTTGCTGCTGTAATTTTGTTGTTGTTGTTGTTCTTGTTATTGTATTGCTCTTGTTGTGGCTGCTCTTGTTGTTCTTGTTCTTGCTGCTGTTCTGTTACTGCTGTTCTTGTTGCTACTGCTGTTCTTGTTGCTGCTGCTGTCCTTGCTACTGACAGGAAGCTCTCGGGTGTTGCAAGACCATTAGTTACAGCTTGACAAGTCATTAATTGCTGCACACACATACACACACATACACATGTGTGTGTATGTGTGTGTGTTTAGGTATATACAGTGTATCCATGAGCATAGAACTGCTCTCTCCCTCCCCACTCTATACCTCTCCTCCCCCTCCCTCTACCAGGTGGTGATTACCTCCCACCCTTCCACCTCGCCTGTTGCTACTTGCTGCCCACCCTCCTCACCCCTTCTCTCCCTCCCTCCCCCACCCCCAGGTACACGAGGAGGGAACAGTTGTCATCATCACCTCCAACACACGCTCATAACTTGGGCTTATTTTTATAGTGTTGCAGACCAGAGACAGACAGACAGACAGATAGACAGACAGACAGACAGACAGACAGACAGACAGACAGACAGACAGACAGGCAGTGGTGTGAATTTATGACACAAGAGGAGTGTGTGTGTGTGTGTGTGTGTGTGTGTGTGTGTGTGTGTGTGTGTGTGTGTGTGTGTGTGTGTGTGTGTGTGTGTGTGTTTTGAGGGACGAGGCAGATAATGCTATACATTATCATGATACCCACACCATCCGTCTCTTTCTCTCTCTCTCTCTCTCTCTCTCCCTTTATTTCCGTTTTTTGTTCTTAATTTCCTCTTCCCTCCTCCTTCCTTTTTTCTTCCGTCCTTCCTTCCGCCCTTCCCCCATTCTTTCCTCCTTCCTTCCCTCCATCCCACCTTCCGTCCCACCTTCCGTCCCCCTTCCGCCCACCTTCCACCTTCTGTCCCACCTTCCGTCCACCTTGGTCTGGCTGGTACTCGGCACTGACCAATATTTACTCAGATCTTCATCACAACTGACGACGCTGCCATCAATACCACCCCACTCTCCCTCTCCTTCCCTCTCCCCTCTCCGTCCCTCCCTCTCCCCTCTCTCTTCCCTCTCATTCCCTTTCTCCTCTCTCTCCTTCTTCCTCCCTTTCTCTTCCTGTTTCTCCTACTCTTTCCCTTTTTTTCTTCCCTCTCCATCCTCCTCTTCTATCTTCTTCCCTCTCCCTCTTCTTCCCTCTCCCTCTCTCCCTCTTCCTCCGTTTCCTTTCCTCCTCTTCTTCCTCCTCCCTCCCTCCCCCTCCCTCCTCCTCCCCTCCCTCCCTCCCTCCCCTCCCCTCCCCCCTATCCCTTCTTCCTCTTCCCCCTTCCCTCATTTTTACCTCTACCCTCTTTTCCTCCCCTCCTTCCGTATGTCCGTGTGTATAAATACGCGTGGTTCGTATTCAAGTGTGTTTGTGTGTGTGAGAGAGAGAGAGAGAGAGCATTAAAAGGCAAAGTAACAAAGTAATGCCTTGGATAATAATAATAATAATAATAATAATAATAATAATAATAATAATAATAATAATAATAATAATAATAATAATAATAATAATAATAATATACACTGCCTCTCATCCTCTATCCCACACTTATATATTACCAACGTCTAGTTCACTGCCACTATATATATGGTCACTATATGGGTGAAACTAGTCATAACGTACTTAGCTTTTATATACTGTATATATAAATGTCTATAGGCCTACACTATATGTGTTTATATATGTACTTATCTATATGTATATGAGAAAATATTAAAACTACATCTCTCTCTCTCTCTCTCTCTCTCTCTCTCTCTCTCTCTCTCTCTCTCTCTCTCTCTTTTTTAATTTATTTCCTCCTTTTTCTGATCTCTCCTTCTAACGATCTTTTAATGATCACTTTGTTACCCAATTCAATATACTTCACCTGAGGATTAAACACCCCAACGCTACCTGGAGGAGTTGGGTTAGGTTAGGTTAGGTGATTAATCTTAAGGTAAATCTTCAGGTAATCTCATTGTTATTGCTTTTTCTCTTATCATTAGTGGCAATAAATTCAGCAAAATCCACTGGCGTGCAGTATTACGACCAGACGACACCTCCACCACGAGGAACCTTGCAAATGTAAACAGTCAGTCAGCTGTGAGGTGTAAACAAACAGTCAGCTGTGAGATGTAAACAAACAGTCAGCTGTGAGAAGTAAACAAACAGTCAGCTGTGAGATGTAAGCAAACAATCAGCTGCGAAATGTAAAGAAAAGTTCTGCTGTGATTATGTAAACAGACAGTGAGCTGTGAGATGTAAATAATCACTCAGCTATAAGATGTAAGCAGACAGTCAGTCGTGAGATATAAACAACAGTTAGATGACTCTTCCTATATGACAGATGGTGACTCGCCGTGGTGAAACAACACACATAAGGAAGAATGACACTGATGGTGTGTGTGTGTGTGTGTGTGTGTGTGTGTGTGTGTGTGTGTGTGTGTGTGTGTGTGTGTGTGTGTGTGTGTGTGTGTGTGTGTGTGTGTGTGTGTGTGTGTGTGTGTGTATGTGTGTGTGTGTGTGTATGTGTGTGTGTGTGTGTGTGTGTGTATGTGTGTGTGTGTGTGTGTGTGTGTGTGTGTGTGTGTGTGTGTGTGTGTGTGTGTGTGTGTGTGTGTGTGTGTGTGTGTGTGTGTGTGTGTGTGTGTGTGTGTGTGTTGTGTGTGTGTGTGTGTGTGTGTGTGTGTGTGTGCGTCTTGAATATATCTGCACTGTGTTAGTGTTGATGTTGGCGTTGTTTTAGTTGTGTGTATTAGCGAGTGTTGAATTGAGTTGTGATGGACTTTGATATTGTTGCTGTGTATTGTTGTTAGGAGGGGAAGGGGGTGGTAGAGGAGGAGGAGGAGAGATGGACGAGAGGATAAGTGAAGGAGACGGAGGGAGGGTAAGAGAAGGTGAAAGGTGAAGGAGAAAAGGGAGGGGGAGAAGAAGGAAAGGGGAGGAGAGGGTATGAGCGGATAGGGGTAGAAGGCAGGGAGAGGGACGAGTGGGTAGGGGAAGGAGAGGGGGAGAGGTAGAGAAAAGAGGAAGGGGAGAAGGCAGAGTGAGGGAAGGGAAGGGGTGATCCGGTAGTTCCTATACTGTGGGGGAGGTTAGTGATTGAGTCGTGTTTGTACGTTTTCATTCACCCGTGTACACACACATGGACGTGTAAGTTACGCACGAGGAAACATGTACACGCGTATTAACTCTCACTCATGTACACGCACGCATATAAACACAAAGACAGGTTAACAAATACACACACAAAAAAACGCTCATACACACACACACACACACACATATATACTGTACCTCACTTAATGACGGAACAGTTATCTTAAAGGCAAGTTATTAAAGCTTCCTAACAACAGTAGCTCAGCCAGGTAACAAAGCTCAGGTATTTAATATCCACAAACATATTTTTTCTCCACCAACACACAATATAGTTCTGTGTTTTGTGCTGACTGATGAAATTTGATAGTGAACTCTACTCCTCTTTCACTTGATCATGGTATGTATGTATGTATGTATGTATGTATGTATGTATGTATGTATGTATGTATGTATGTATAGCATGTTGTTCATAGTACTCGCAGGACTACACGAAGGATGGTGACCAAACTGTGTAGGATTGTAGGATCACACTCTCTCTCTCTCTCTCTCTCTCTCTCTCTCTCTCTCTCTCTCTCTCTCTCTCTCTCTCTCTCTCTCTCTCTCTCTCTCTCTCTCTCTCTCTCTCTCTCTCATTAGTGCTGTATTAGTGTAACAATAACCATCATCCCCAAACTGATGGTTGCAGTAGAATTAAGTGTTCAATCCCCCGACTCGTTGCCCATTATAAATTACAAAAGGCAGACAATACTCACTTCAACCCGGATCTATTATGTCAACAGTGGGGTAAATTTGTAGTTTTGACTGTCTGTGTGTTTGTTTATCTTCAAGTTGAGGTATAGCCATGTGGTAGTGAAGGTAATGTTATGGTACTGAAGACTGGTCCAATTGATGTGGCTTCTCTTGATATTTTTTTCCCGGTAAGTGATTAGTTTTGAAGGATTTTGTTATTTTTAGCTTTATTTAAATGTTCTATCTTAAGTTATTTCTTTTAGGTTAAATTTGTAATATAAGTTTAATTATATAGGTTTAAGTCTTAAGTTTAAGTTTATCTCATAAGTTAATATAGACTTGACCGAAACTCTACCAGGTCACGTGACGACTGTTTGTTTACCTTGAGGGATCATTAGTCTAACCCTAAGGACTATGACGGCAGACTAAGAATATAAAGCATGTTTATCGTGTCTATTATTATTTCATCGATAACGTGTGTGTGTGTCTCTAGAACATTTTTAGATTACCCTTATTTACGGCCCGTCCGTGTTTCATTTGACCTGCAGTGTGTTGGTAGAAATAACATTGGGTAACTGTTACTAAGTTTGTTTTTCTTTCGTTTTACAGGGAGCAGTTCTACGACAGGTAAGCGTGAGAGAGAGATCGAGCAGGACAAAACGAGTCTGTCTTCTGTTTTTTGTACTTTACCACTTAAGTTCTCAATTAAGTTTGTATTTGAGTTTAAGGTTAAGTTTATTTTATTATCTCTGGTACACCTTGTTAGTTAAAGTTAGCAGTGAAATAGACCAAACTCGTGAGGGAAAGTACGCATCAGTATTTAAGTTTCCGCACCTTAGTTCATGATTGAGTTTGTCCTCCGCCGCTAATGGAGTTTAACACAAGTGACGACGCCTGTGTGGTGAGCTGAAGGGTGTGGTGGTATATACTGTATTATATGATCGTTGCTGGTGGGTTCTCACACATGTACCACTTTATATTGTGACCACTATAATGTAAGAGGATATTACCATATGTGCAAGTCATGATCGTTAACCCAGAAAGTTCCATTTCAGGACAAATGAGTTTACAGGACTGATGTGAAATATTCATGGGTTTCACCCGAATTAATATTATTGGCTAATGTATAATTTGGTAATATTTACCTTTCTGTGTGTGGTCATAATGTTGAGTGTTTTCCCATTTTTTTCTTTTACAATTTCACAAAACATTATTTATTATTGCAGACACAAGTGGATGTTATACTGAACTATGTGCTAACTTTCCATACAGAGACTAGAGACGAGCGTTAGTTTACATAAGCGCTGTGAGACTACTGTACGGCGTTAGTTCCATTTATGTAAGATGACACGAACCAGACTTACATAACCTAACCTAACCAAGTCCAAGTAAATCAACTCCAATCAATCAAAGTACAATTCCCACATCTGAGGGTTGGTGACCACAGCCCTCCACTCTAAATGTTTACTGGCTGTTTTTACCAATCCTCCTAGATTTTGCATCTCCTTGGCGACCCATATTTTATTTCATTCATCCATCCCTGTCCATGCCTTCCCCTGGCCCTCCTACCCTCAACTTTGCCCATTAATAAATCTGCTATTATCCCCTCATCCCTAATTTTATAACCAAAGTATCTCAACCTAACCTAAAATAATAAAAAAAAGACCTTTAAGTTAAGTTTGATTAGTTTGTGTTGTCTTTCATAAAACAGTTTAGTTCCGTAACCCTCACAGCAGCCATTTTGTAAACAAACTCTCGCCTCTGGACACGTCACACATGTCTATTTATGTCGGATAAATGGAAAAAAACACACATAAATTATTAATACCGTGAAAATGAACACAAATCTTCCCGTGATCGATCTTACATTGATGCTGTCTGGTTCATGATCCATCCTTGTACCCTATAGCCCATGAAGATGTGTGAAAATGTGTCTGTCAGTCAGTCACTCAGGCAGGCAGTCAGTCAGTCAGCCAGTCAGTCAGTTATTCAGTGAGTTAATTATAGGCAGTCATTCAGTCAGGCAGAAAATCAGTTATTCAGTTAGTCAATGAATTAATAAGACAGTCAGTCAGTCAGTCCATCAGGCAGAAATTCAGTCAGTCAGTCAATCAGGCAGAAATTCATTCAGTCAGTTAATTACACAGTCAGTCAGTCACTCCGAACTCGAACAAGAGATGGATCTGAGATAAGGTTAACAGACGTAAAAAGATTCATCATTGCGATTTTCTAAGAGTCGTCCACACTGTCCCAAACATGGCACCCGGGCATATGAGATCCACTTTAACTTTCTGGATTATGGCGGCTTTAGGTGATAAATGTTTAGGTTAAAGGATATGGATAGGATTTTGGAAGACAAGATGTAAGGAAGACTGTAGGTTGAGAAACTGAAGGATAAACAGATACACAAAAATATGGTCTTTGAGGTGTAGAGAGTGACCCACACAACTCATTATACAGACTGACACACACACACACACACACACACACACACACACACACACACACACACACATATACTACAGTAACTCACACACACACACACACACACACACACACACACACACACACACACACACATATACTACATAGTAGACTGTCTCTCTCACACACACACACACACACACACACACACACACACACACACACACACACACACATATACTACATAGTAGACTGTCTCTCACACACACACACACACACACACACACACACACACACACACACACACACACACACACACACACACACACATATACTACATAGTAGACTGTTCCTCTCTCCACACACACACACACACACACACACACACACACACATATACTACATAGTAGACTGTCTCTCTCACACACACACACACACACACACACACACACACACACACACACACACACACACACATATACTACATAGTAGACTGCTCCTCTCACACACACACACACACACACACACACACACACACACACACATATACTACATAGTAGACTGTCTCTCTCACACACACACACACACACACACACACACACACACACACACACACACACACACATATAACATAGTAGACTGTCTCTTCACACACACACACACACACACACACACACACACATATACTACATAGTAGACTGTCTCACACACACACACACACACACACACACACATATACTACATAGTAGACTGTCTCACACACACACACACACACACACACAAGGTAATTTGCTATGCACATAATCCTCTTTTGACAGTGGGGACAGTGAGGCCACAATAGAATGTTGTTGTAGTATTACAATAGATTCCCACAATGCAACAAAACAGCTGTGTGTGTGTGTGTGTGTGTGTGTGTGTGTGTGTGTGTGTCCTTTAATAGGTTTTCACAACATAAAAATCATCCATGTGTCAGTAATCCATCTCATAAGAAACTTCAAAGGTCTCCCCAGCCACCACCACCACTTATTAGATAATATGGGGACAAAGTCATAACCAACTTCTATTTTCACAAAGGTTGACAAACTTCTTCTTCTTCTTCTGTCGCGATTAAAATAGAGTCTGGAAACAAAAATATTTTCAACGGAGTCTCACAGTAAAAATTTGATATGAAACTTTGTGTATTATGTCTTTTACGAAGTTTGTAATTATCGCTACAAGTTAAACACGCAAACATTCTTTATAACTCTGATGACCGCGAAGATCTGAGGCGTCTTGGAGCTGTAGATGATGTTGATAGTTGAGATTCTGTCGTTTATTGCCTCCTAATCCTCTTCAGTTTTGTAGTTCTTTTGTTTTTCTCTAATTTTATTTACTGGAGGTTCTGTCACTTATAGTCTTTACTGGAGGTTCTATCACTTATAGTCTTTACTGGAGGTTCTATCACTTATAGTCTTTACGGGAGGTTCTGTCATTTATAGTCTTTACTGAAGGTTATGTCACTTATTGTTTTTAATCCTCTTCATTTCACTAGCATTTGTTTACATTCAGGCTATTCATGTTTTCACGTCACTTATACGTATTTATGATATTTTGTTGACATTACTACATAGTATTACACACAAAATGAAAACCTAACCTAACCTACCCTAACCTACTCTTTCCCACCAATAGAGCGTAAATCCCCGCCACACTAACTTATAATTACTGTCAGAATATACATAAACAGACAAAATACTGTATAGCGGTTAATTAACAGTCACATGTATCATACACCAGTCATTCATAACAGTTATAACACACACCAGTCATTCATAACAGTACGTAACACAACTGGGAGTGACAAAGGCGAGCGAAAGATTCGTCTGGCGAAGATAAACAGTTAATTAGGTAGAATGGGAACGCCTGGCGATGTGTTTTCTGGTACAGATGAGAGGATTGAGGAGGGATAAGGAAAGAAGGAATTTGTATTGATGTATATTAATAATGGGATAGAAAAAGTGGAATAGACACACACACACACACACACACACACACACACACACACACACACACACACACACACAGACCTTACCAAGCCATCCTTATAATATAGTCAGTCCCACATTACGTCATCACCACCATATACACCACCACCACACCACCACCACCACCAGCAACCACCACCACCACCACCACCACCACTCCTCCTCACCTTTACCTGAGCTCATAACATGATTGTTTACCTTGTTGGCGCTGCTTGAGCCATTAACATGACCTGAGCCATTAATATGACCTGTGTACATGCCCTCCCCTACCACTCACCCCACTGCTTCTCTCTCTCTCTGTGTACACTGTAGCCTCTAACGAATGACGTCATACAAGGCGCAATTAATGAAACACGGTCGCTTGGATAATGTACCGTCGTTTACTGTGTAGATGCTGCCTGCTGGAGATGGGTGGTGGTGATAGGTGGTGGTGAGGGTGGTGGTGATAGGTGGTGGTGAGGGTGGTGGTGATAGGTGGTGGTGAGGGTGGTGGTGATAGGTGGTGGTGATAGGTGGTGGTGAGGGTGGTGATAGGTGGTGGTGAGGGTGGTGGTGATAGGTGGTGGTGAGGGTGGTGGTGATAGGGTGGTGGAGAGGGTGGTGGTGATAGGTGGTGGTGATAGGTGGTGGTGAGGGTGGTGGTGATAGGTGGTGGTGAGGGTGGTGAGGTGGTGGTGAGGGTAGAGGTGGTGGTGAAGGTGGTGTGAGGTGGTGGTGATAGGTGGGTGGTGAGGGTGGTGGTGATAGGTGGTGGTGAGGGTGGTGGTGATAGTGGTGGTGAGGGTGGTGGTGATAGGTGGTGGTGGGGTGGTGGTGATGGTGGTGTGGGTGGGGTGATAGGTGGTGGTGAGGGTGGTGGTATAGGTGGTGGTGAGGGTGGTGATAGGTGGTGGTGAGGGTGGTGGTGATGGTGAGAGGGTAGGTGGTGGAGGTGATGGTGATAGGTGGTGTGACGGTAGTTGTAGGTGGAGAGTCATATAACACGAACACCACTGCCTAAAAGATCACTAATAATCACGTCACCTCTCCCTCTCCCTCTCCCTACCTCCCTCTCTCCCACTCTCCCCGCCTCCTCCCTCTCCTTACCTCTCCCCCCTCCCTTCCCCCGCCTCTCTCCCCTACACCACCCCGGGTAGCAGATTACCAGCTGAGACAAGGTAGAGAAGCTCTTACCAGGAC